TTTGTTTTCAACAAAGGTCAATAAAGAGTTAACTTAAAAACTATAGAAAGTTTTTATCCATAGAATCTCACTGGCCATTTTCAAATCGAGTCAACTTAAATGTGTTAAAATACACTGCAAAATACACTGCAAACAAAGTCTAAAATGATACATACTACCGAGAAAAGAGAAAAATATCTACTGCTATGTAATCATTCTGGTAATTTTTAAATAATACCATTTGTTGGATTATCGAAGTTAAAGTTATGTTTAAATAAAATTTCTATGATATCTACCAGACATGACGATGGAATCCTATAAATAAAATTAAGGAAATGCAGGAGATATAAACTAACGATGGTGGAAATATTACAAAGACATCTCATTGCCTATTCGTAGCTGTACAACTAACCATGCCAAGGGGCAGCCATACCTCCACGATAACCTCGGTGGAGCTTAAAAAATCTCTTTCCTAATTCTAGGTATAGATATATGGAAAAAATCCTACGCAGCTAGTTTTTACAACCAGGTAGACCATAACGTCATCTCTTCGCCTATTTGTCATCATCTGACAAAAGCGACAATATTATTTCCTTTCACTAAATACATTCCTTGGAGCATATCCCCAGTAATGAGGGACGCACTCTTATTTCTCAACCGTTACACAACTTATCAACAAACCAACAGTCAACTACCGTCAAAAGCAACGACAAGGAATTTGTTAGTTGATCATATTGCTTATATACTCATTTATCACCGCTTACCAATTTATCGCGTATTTTATGCCTGTCTTTTGATGCTGTTAACTAGTAATATTGTACGAGAACAATATTACATTCCGAATAAATCTATGTTGCTGATAAATGAGCTCAGGAAATTAGCTTTTTCAGCACCACTACTACATGATTGGCACTTATCTGTTACCTGATGTTCAGACATTAATGATTGTGTCCTAAACCATTTGCCACACAAAGAGCAAAAATAACGGCGGCCACTTGCATGGAGTTTCATATGTATACTGAAGTTTACTTGACGAGCAAAACATTTTGTACATATCGGACATTGATAAGGTCGCCCATCTGTAAAATATTATCATGATGATAAAGAAGGATTCTGCTCCGATAAAAGTATTTGGAAGATTGAGCGTCGTTTTTGATACGCTGAAATATACGTTTCTCTGTATATTGCTTTTATTTTCCATTAGACACAGTGGTAGTAAAGAAGTCATTTAGCAGTAAATTAAATCCTCACAAATTAACACGTAAGAATACATGTAACTAAAATTCTTTTTAAAAATAAAATCATTCACAAATATAATACTCACTGGCATGAGTCTTTTCGTGGGCCAATAGGGGTTGTTTGTGAGCATAGGCACGTCCGCATATTTTGCATCGGTAAATAGGCCTATCAAGACCAATTTCATGATCACTCCATAGTGCACTGTCACCAAAGGAATCATCTACTTCACTCTCATTTTCCCGATATATTAAATCATCGTCTGCAAAAATCGTTTCAATATATAAACTCATCAATTAAATTTATACGTGAAAATGATTCGAAATTGCAAAAGTCGGGATTTTTTACGTTTCATACGCATCATGTTACAAGTCGAATATCGACACTTACATTTTTTTTTGCTGAAGATAAAGTAATACGACATAAAACTAGCCCATATGCATCTTAGGAGCATCGGTAACTTTAAATGTTAATTTATTGTTGCCAATCAAAATCGAAAATTTTTGCAAGGGATTTCGTCCTTGCCAACGTTCATTCTCTGAAGTTTTTGATGATCCAAACTGGTTCATGGAATTCGTGCTTTCATTCTGTAAACAATAAGCTACGCTATCCGGTAATTCACTGCACTCCTACTCCCACAATAATAGCCATGTGCACTCGACACAAATCCTTACTGCAGTTAACTATTAAGTCACTCAAGCTAAGTCACCCTATGCATAGGTTAGCTTGAGATAACATTCAACCATGTTTTCATAGCAGATAAAATTCTTCATATTAACCCTATAAAGGATACATCATGTACACACACTCTCCCACTTACCTCAATCGATTCTTGTAAAGCCTTTTCGTTAATCAGTATCGGACATTCATCATCACTACCTTCTATTGCTATTTCCTGGAAAAAAAAAAATTCCTTTCCAGAGAATATGATCTGCTATTTGATGGATTTTGGAAATATGCGGAGATTACTGAGAAATAATTGCAGCATTTATGAATATTTATGTTAATTTATTATTTCCAATGTTTCATTTTAGAATAAGTTATTTTAGTATAAAATTCTACAACAACTAAAACATTATTTATGGGAAAATTTTCAGAGTTAGAAGAATCCATATTTCAAGTTAGGCAAGCAAAAGTTTAAGTTCATAAATCACTAAAAAAAAAAAAATTAAATAACTTGCTGTTAGCACAACAATTATAGTGTGAAAAGAAAATCATCTGTCCTACCTGATTCATTTCTGTATTGGTAATAATTGATAAATGTTCACTGGAACCATCGCTATCAATTATGACTGAATGCATCTTTTGTAGATCGCATTCCGATTCTTTTACCATAATTTTAAAACGGATTTATTAGCAGCGTAATTTCTAAAATCCCTTAAATTTGTTTTATCTAAAATTCATCTTATTAAGTATAACAATGTCTCAGACGTAGCGAACTTTATCTAATGTCATATATTCCTGGACAATGTCACATATATAGGTTATAGTAAACGTACTTCCGAAATCCGTCTAAAGTACAAAACGTATCACATCACATGTCAGTTTCTAGTAATAACCAAAACTGAAAGGAAAAAAAAAAGAACCACACAATTTATTACCAATTTAAAATTCGAAACAACTAAACCATCCAAAATCCATCAGTGATATTTCTCCCATAAAATCTTCCAATCCCTATCCTCCCGATAATTCGCGGTCATGTTTTTTTTTCCTCACCTATACTATCTAGTATCTGCAGAATTCCGTCTCATCTCCATTCCTCATTCTCATCCATTATCTCTAATTTTCTCTTTT